TGATTTCTGGTCGCAAATCTAACCATGCCAGTTATGTAGCTCGGAATTTAGCAACGATTTTTCGTCATATGTCCGGAAAATTTGTTACTGCAAGTCATGCACGAACCAGAGCTAAGCTAATCTAACAGTACCCTTTTCTAAAGTAAACATATGCAAATGTGCTACACAACATATTTGTTCCTATGGCCTGCTCAAATTCATTAGCTTTGCATGTACCTCTACACCTTTCCAATAGACCAGAATGTTAACCTTGCCTAAACACCTTTACACGAACGTACTCATAATCTATGATTACTTCTAGTATAAGTTCATTAAGGTCGACGAATAAGACACATTCTCATCAAAGCTTACCACATCAGCATGACAGGTCACTTTCCAGCAAACTAATGCTCATCTCCTGGTCGTGTTTCACGCCTGGACAAGTCAAAGGCTTACGAAATTCAGTCTTCAAGTTGGCCATAGTACTAATTCGAACATTCGAACTCCACTTCAATCTAGCGAAACACCTAATGGTCGTGTAGAAGCTACAAAATCATCAATTTGGGCTGCAAACCTAGCGCTGACTGCACGGTTACTATTCCAACATGGCTTCAGGCTCGGTTACTATTCTAATATAGCATCGGGCTCGGTTACTATTGCAATAGGGCATCCGGCTCGGTTACTATTTGGCGTCGGACTCGGGCGCTCTCGTCCGGGCCGTATCTACGAGTTTAAAAACCATGCATTCTTTTTGCAGTGTCCATTGGATACAGGTTTCTAACAATAGAAATGTCCATGAAAGTCAAGTTTAAGGTGGCTGCGTCCGCTTGATAAGGGTGTCCGTTGAATACGGGTATTTTTTACAGCGAATGTGGGCGAAGAAAAATGGGACTTGCACTGCTGTCTGCTTAATAGAGGGTGTCCGCTTAATATGGGCTCCGCTTAATATAGGTTTGACTGTATACTAAAAATGCCTCTATAAATTTTTTTAATACCTCTCGACACTCGATCATGGTTCGCACTACGTGTGTTGGCATGTTACGTCATGATGTGCAAATAATTTTTTCCTAATCGATTTGATGATCGCAAGAAAAGTATAGTAAGGCTGTAAATGCAGTCATACCTGTATTTTAACACGCTTAAAAGTAGACACCCTTTATTACAGTAAGCGGGCAGTGGCATTATGGTTCTGGATCTAGGAGTGTAATATGACATCTGTATTTTCCGGGTGCGACATTTTTTCAGTTTATAAAACGCCTATTTTAGCATTTAAATACGCAACGCGTGATAGGGATTAAATTTGGTGATATTTTACAATAAAATATAAATGGGGTTTTGTGTAAACCGTTTGTCAGTCGTTGATTTACTGGCTGTGTTTTAGTGGCCGTTGCCGTTGTGGAGAGCTGGCCGGCCGTTGTAGAGCAGTTCAAATAACTTGAGTAAATGTATGGCTGTCCGCGGGGACCAAAATAAGTTGTCGTTGTAGAATAGTCTGCTGGCAGCCGGTTTCTTTCTCTAAGGGTCACTAGGACGAGTGTTTAGTCACCGCGAACTAAGGGGAGTATGGCGGTGGCCGAGTGGGGAAGAAGGCGGGACAAGGGCGGTATGGCCGAGTAGGGAAGAAGGCGAGACGAGCAAAAACCGTCTGCAGACTCTTTTTAGCTTTTTCAAACCCTCCGTCAGCCCAGCAACGGAGTGCCTGATTGGTCAATATCTGCCTGATGACAGATAGTTGACAGAAGGCCGTTAGTGAAGGTTCGACCGTAGTTATTGATAATTCAATTATTTTTTGATCTCGGTTAAAGGTGGTTAACTTTGAGAACTTCGAGACGTAACCTCGGGTTATGTGGACTCTGTGAGGGTGTAGGAGAGGAGTGGAGGACTTTTGGGAGACGGGGTGGGCAATGCAATCCAAAAGGACTTGCTAGTTAGTCATAAAGGCTTGATTGGAGTGGCGGAAATAGAGTCAAGAGACGATATGGATTTTAGGCATTCGTACTGCCCGGGACATGAATTTAATAGGAATTGACATAATGACGTTTGAGAGAGAAAATACGCAATTAAAGTTTTGCAGGGGCGTATCTGAAGACCAAATTACATAAAAAAACTGACGACGAAACTTAAGGCATTAAATCTAACCACGTAATCCTTAATCCAAGTATCAAGCGTTTTGGTTTTAAAAACCAATCCACGTTGCTGTCATAATTTCGTGAGACTTACCACTCCGCCCAAAATGCCAAACAAAATCATGACACATTACTAAAATCGCCAAAACTGCTTCACTTCACCCCGTCACTTTTTGTACACGAGTGTCCCTCTTCGTCTGGACTACAGCCATTGATCACCACACATATTTTGTAGCAAATGCTTTACAAACAGTTTATTTCGTGTTACAAAGTTTTCCACTTTAAATGCTCAGTATACTACGTATCAACACAGTAGATTAACATGTTTTTTTCAAGAAAACTTTCAAAGGCCTTCTTGAACGATAAATTTTAATCCTCTTAAATAGAAGTGTTACTATTCTTCCGATCCAAAGAGTGATTATTTGATTCAGTTTGGATCAGACAAGCGGATAGCTGGCGCTGGTGGCGATTCCACACTGGTTGTTCCTGTTTCTTGACATCATGACGTAACCTTGCATTCCCCAGCCAGTCCCCCAGGAGTTCTTGACCAGCCAGTAGTCCTGGCCTTGATAAGTTCCATAGCCGACGACCAAAACGCCATGATCAAGTTTTGTGCTGCTGCACGACCTGTGAAAAAGAAGCAAATGCTATTAAGGTGGTATGGTACCCTCAATATGGACCAAAACGTTTGTTTAAATATGGTAAAGAAAGATCAATTGTGTGCTATTGCACTCAAGAAGAGAAATTAAATTTCCAGAGTTTTACTCAAAATGGTTGCTATGGAAACCAGCCACAGCCTTTTGAAGTAGTGTTTTATAGTATTGACGCCAACACTTCCTGCTCTTTTACAAAAC